TGTCGGAGTTCGTCCGGTGTAGCCTTAGCAAGATTAAGGTCTTGGTCGACCTTCTTCAAAGATGCCTCAAGGCTGGCCGGATCAGCGGTCGGTTGAGAAGACGTGGCCTCGGATGATGGAGGTCGGATAAGAGGCAGTTCAGCTTGAAGTTCGGTGATCCTTGCCATCATTCGATCGAGGACGGGGAGAGCCTCCGACTCCAGTGTGGGCTGCACCAAAAAATCTATCGTGACCTGAACTAAAGCCTTGAGGTTGGCTAAACTCAGATCAGCGAAAGATAGGTCGGCACAGCGTTCTATGATAGATCTGACGGGAGTCGGGAGGTTCACTCGGGCCGATACGTTCATCTCCTGGGCGGTCTAAAACAAAAGCGTTGAGGTATGGAAAAAAAAAATGATTTCGCTACAATACAAAGATAGGGTGTACCTGGTTGAAGGCGGCTGTCGCTTCAGAAGGGGTTGCAGACGGTGGGCGACGGCCAGCTCCATACCCTGAAAGGAGAATGTTAAGCAAGAGAGAAGAGGTGAAAGTCAGAAAGTGGATGAGAAAGAATACTAACCGAACCCCTTGGGGCAAAGTTGACTGAAGCCTCGCCCGACTTCGAGGAGGAAATCTCCTCTATGTCTTGAGGCGGCGGGATCGGTTGGACTGGTTGGAGAGCGGCCGGAGGATCCTCACGCACGGGCTGGGCGGCTGGCTGCAAGGGCAGCGCAGCGATCTGGTCGGGCGGTACCGCGACTTGGTCGGGCAAAACCGTGACCTTGGCGGGTAATGCGACAATTTAGTCGGGCACCGCCGCGACCACATCAGGTTCCTGGTTGAAAATAATGATAGCACTATACTGAAAACTCCTAAACATCACGAGAAGTGACGCTTAGGAGTCGGGCGGGAGGAGGCAAGTTGTTGAGTAAGAAAAAACCAATGTATAGGGTTTCTTGAGAATGGGCTTATAAATTGGATTGATGTATAGTCCAATGGGCCTGATAATAGGGCCTTAAAGAAAGTCGGGGGAAGAAAGATGAGACGGCCGATACGGAGGTCGGACAAATTGAAGTCAGGCGAAGAAGGATGAGACGGCCGATAAGGAGGTCAGACAAGATAAGGTCGGGCGAAGAAAGATGAGACGGTCGATACAGGGGTCAAACAAGAGAAAAGTGGGCTTCTAGGGGCCCATTTGAAAGAAAGGTCTGTAAATTGGTCGCTTAATTAAGCGACCTGTTAATCGCTTGATCGATTGGCCGGTCATTTGGTCAAGCCGTAGTTCAATCGCTTGAAAGGGCGGTCAGTTGGTCGCTTGATTGGGCGATCAATGAATCGTCTGGACGTATGGTTGTTCAGCCGTTTGAAGGGACTGGATGGTGGTCGCTTGATTGGGCGACCAATAAATCGTCTGGACGAATGGTTGTTCAGCCGTTTGAAGGGACTAGATGGTGGTCGCTTGATTGGGCGATGGATGAATCGTCTGGACGAATAGTTGTTCAGCCGTTTGAAGGGACTGGATGGTGGTCGCTTGATTGGGCGATGGATGAATCGTCTGGACGAATAGTTGTTCATCCGTTTGAAGGGACTGGATGGTGGTCGCTTGATTGGGCGACCGATGAATCGTCTGGACGAATGGTTGTTCAGCTATTTGAAGGAATTAAATGGTGGTCGCTCGAGTGGGCAACTGATTAGTCATTTGGTCTAGCAACCAGTCAGTATCTGGATTGGTCGGTTGGTCAATCGTTGGGTTATTCGGTAGGTTCAGTCGGTGGATGGTCCAGACGATTTCTCGGTCGGATGGTGATTTATGATCTGTCTGAAAAGACGGTTAAGGGAAGTTACAACCGGCGAGCGGATCGAACAAGTGAAAGGCGAGCAAGAGGAGACGTAGCAGCAGGTGTGCCGGTTGGACGAAAAGCAGTTCTAAGACGGTTGAGAGAAGTTACAACCAGCGAGCGGATATGAAGGCACGACATCAAATTCAGTGAATTGCTTTTGTGGATCACCATTTACTTTTTCAATCTATAATATTTATTTCTTTTCTATTTTATTTATATATCGTACGGTGTCTAGAGATTTTTAAATCTCAGGCATTTTATTTTATCAAATTTGAAAATAATTTTTATTTTCGAATTTTACTTTTTATTATTGAAAATCGACATCAGCACTATCATATAAAATTTCAAAATTAACAATATATTTAGAAACATTATCAATATGATAACTATAAATAGTTTAATATTGGTTTATGTTAATATTTGCAATAACTTAACTAAATATATATTAATTAAATAAAATTATTTATAATGTAACCCTAAATAGTAGATATTTTTTTATAAAAATAAATATATAATTAAGATTTTTCTAATTTTTCAGTACTTGATTTTAAATAGTGATGCATAGTTAAAAATATATTATTCAATTACAATACAAGTAAAAAAAATAAAGATATTGAAGATGATTTTATTATTTTGTTATTACTTTAAATAGCTACGAACGATAATAAGAAAAATTTATAGTTGTTTTTGTTACTTATGTTGTGACATTTGATTTTAAAAAGTCACGGAAATTATACAATGAAAATATCTGTAATAATTTAAAATATTGCAAATATTTTGGTTATTTCTGCCACAACTCAAAATAGTCAAGAAAATATTTCGTAAAAATTGTTGTGACGAAATAGTCAAAAGATATGGAATAGAAATATCTTAGACATTTTCGTTATATAAGCGGTTATTTTAAATAGTTACAGAAAGTTGTTTGTAAATTTTCTGCAAATATTACTTACATAATAGTCAAAACAAAAAATTGTGACATAAATTTGTCACAAAATTACTTTCCGTAACTTTTAATTATCACGAATTAAAATTTGCGATTAATTTTCATAATTATCAACCTTTTTCTAACAGTAATTTTTTGTATCTTGGATAAAATATTTATCTATTTTAATTTAAATTTTATTTATGAATAAATAGATTTAATTTTAAAAGATACATAATATTTATATTCTTCCCAAAAATATTTTATTATTAAAAATGATTATATTTTAATTGACTTGGATAGAAATATAAATGATATATATTTAAGATTTATAAATTTCAATTAGGTTTGATTTATTAAAGTTTATCACATTGACTAATAAAATAGAATATAATTTATTTACTTTATTTTAAAATTACTTATGAACAATGGAGTATATTTTAATATAAACTAGTGTATTTAAAATATTATATATATGATTTATTTTTATATTTAGAAAATAATATAAAAAAAATATTCATAATTAAATTTATAGTGCGTTTACACAAATTAAATTTAATGCTACACAAATGAAGGAAATTGATGCCAAAAAAATCGCACCAAATCACAACTATTATAATAAAATGGCGTGGAATTAGTCGTAATTAATCCGTAACGGTAATAAAAAAAAATAATAATAATTGACACCACATTCGGCACAAAATAATAATAATACTAATATTGACACGTTGAAATCGGCACCACAACAAGTAAATTGGAAACATATTTAAAAAGTTATGGGCTAAAATTTTGATTAAACAAGATCAAGTAGGCATACATAAACCAAATTTTTTTATAAAATATTTAGAGAAAATTTTTATTTTTTGGAATATTTTTCTCAATTTATTTAAAGAGAATTCTAACTCGAGAAATATTTGTCATAATTTATTTCGCGAGAACTTTTACTCTCCGAATATATTTGTAACTTGTTCTGAGAGACAATGGATACTCTCGGAATATTTTTGTGACTCTTTTCAAGAGAATTCATACTCTCAAAATATTTTTTCAGAATTTATTTTTGAGAAAATCTATACTCTCGGAACATTTTTAGCAACTTATTTCGAGAGAACATATCTTCTCATATTACTTCCATGACTCATTTTTTAGACAATTTATACTCTCGAAATTTTTTTGCAATTTATTTAGAAACATTCAAATTTCGGAATATATTTTGTGACTTGTTTCGAGACAATTCATACTCTCATAATACTTTTTGAAATTTATTTCCAAACAATTTATACTCTCAGAATATTTTCGAAATTTATTATAAAACAATTTCTACTCTCAGGGGTGTTTCGAGACAATATGCAACAATACATTGTCACAGAATAACTTTTGAAATTGTGGTCTAGATAAATTGTTTCAGTGATGTCTCAAACCATGATCGGGACACTAACTTGTCTCAAAACAAAGTTCCGTAACACAAGATTGTCTTGGCGTTTTTTTTCGAGACAATTTTTCGAGATACATTGACATTTTTGTGGTAGTGTCAATTTCTAATTTTCAGAATATGCTTGCCTTTTTAGTGTTTAATTAGTTTTCAATTCGGTTATTAATTGTTTTGGGTTTATTAGATTATTGCTTCCACTAGAGGTATTTTTCAAATAAAGTCATGGATCCAAATATAAATTCATAGATACACTTTCTTCAATATGACATTAGTTTATTTCTAGAACAGAGAGAGCAGGATGTTGAAACCAAAGATTTGATGCTGGGTCTGTGCAGACCAATAGATAGATAGATGGGCATATTTGGATTTGGTTAGGTTTGATTTTAAATAGTAGTAGTAATTTTTTTAATTAATTAAAATAATTATTTGATTTGATATAAATGATATTTTGAATATAAAATTAAATTTTTACTATAATATAAAAATAAGCAATTAAAAATCAAATTTAATCTTTTTTTTATAAATAGTAAAATTTTAAATAAAACCCTACAAACAAAACAACCAAAACGGATATGTTTATTAGAGAGAGGGAGATATAATTGGGCAATTTTCCGTAGAGTAGTAGTAATTAAGGAAAGACAGCATGCATGCATACATACATACATACATACATATATACAAAGCCACAGCAAGCCTCCCGCTCGATCGCTAGCTATACATGATGCATGGATGGACGTGGGGTGTGTTCCTGTTTATGATTATTAATAATTATATATATATATATATATATTATAATACAGGCAAGGAACAAGGAAAAGATATATTAAAAGAGCGTGTGTTTATTATTATAATTGAAGTATATATATATGAAGGAATGAATGAATTAGAAATGCAGTATTAAAGCCAGAGGGCGCCAGCCTCCTTGAGAAGCGGGACGAGGGCGCCGCTGATGTGGGAGGCCATGACGCTGTCCATAGCACCCACCAACTTGCCGCCGATGAAGACGAGGGGGACGCCGGAGCTGCTGCTGCTGCTGCTGGGGAATTGGGCTGATTCGGACTGGGATTGGGATTGGGCAGCTGCCTGTGCTATCTTCTTCAAGGCTTTCTCCAAGTCCTTGGCATTGGGGTCCTGGTCGATCTCGTATACCGTCGGGTTGACGCCCATGCTGCAGAAGAGCCGCTTCACCGCGTGGCACATGCAGCAGCTGCTCATACTGAATATCACCACCGCGCTCGCCGACGCCATTCTCTCTATCCGCTCCGACGCCTCCGTCGCCACACTGCGTTTGTACGATCCTCCGCCGCCGCCGTAGTGCATATCTTATATACCTTCAATGCTTTTCAATTCGATCGGGGAGGAAATATAATCACAATACCCGCTCTCGCTATTTATACACTCCTCAATTCACCGATTAATTAATTAATTCATTTTAATTATAAATATATATATATATATATCTATTTATCTTATATAAATTCGATTAATAAGCACCCCCCACTCTCTCACTTACTAATTTGCACCAACATTTATTTCCTTTCTATAGATCTTTCAACCATTAATTTGCAATCATTAATTAAATGTTACTACAATATATATATATATATAATTGATAGTATACGATCTAGCATCAAACTATATCTAAATTTGCAATCAAAATTATTATCTACAATATTTTACAAACCACTAAATGATCTAAAACAAAGTAAACGAATAAATATATATGTATATCCGGATGTCCAATTGCAGCTTCTTTTTTAAAGTAACAATTATACAGATTGGAATAATTTAAAAATAAAAACGTTGGAATATGGTCGTGTCTGCTGGGATCCCAACTTACAACCAATTGCGAATGCATGTTGGTAGATAGGAAGAGATGACAGATCGATGATGATGCAAAAAGGCATTATTAATTGTATTAATGAGAATATCAGATAGGCCGGCATGTCCTGTCCTGCCCTGCCCTGCCCTGTCCAGCGTGGAAGAAGAAGAAGAAGAAGAAGAAGAAGAAGAGCATAGCATAGGTAGCTACACAATTTATAGATCAATAGGAAATCATAGTGAAGCTAGCTAGCTAATTGCCAATAATTAAAATTTAATTAATCATGATTATTGATGTATGTATAGTTAATTATATATCTAAGCATATATATATATATATATATACATATCTCCAATGCTCGTCTTTTACTTACTAATTAATTACTGCAACGTACGTTTAACCAACTAATATAATTAGCGCGCTTAAGTATTATATTGTTGGTTTTTGCTGTTGTGGCTAATTATGTCAAGATATCTAATATATACGATATGATGCTAGCTAGCTAACTAGCTATATGCGGCTATCTAATTAATACCTTGATTGCTATTAATTAACCTACACTTTATATGCATGCATGCATATGTTCTGAATCCTAATGTGTGTGCGTGGCAGCCTTATGTATATATATAATAGCCGTTGATTAATTAGTCGTAGCCATAGGTTAACCTAGCCTAGCTTAGGTTGGCAATGTCACGATCGATGCTGCGTGGTCGGCCCCTACATCGATCACCCGCTCGCTCCCCTTCCCAATTAAGACAATTATTTTTATCTAATTTGCAGTACTATAGTAGTGTACTTTAACTTGTTTTCTATTAGTAATGTTTGGTTGTTTAATGTTTTAATTTGAAGAAATTTTTATAACGGTGAAGTATAAAAAATCATGTCAATAATATAATAAATAATATTTTATAGAATAAATATATATATTGAGAATTGTGTGGAAAAAAAAAATAATTATGGGCAAACAAGTTTTTTAGTATAATATGTATTTCTTTATGCATATTTTGAGTTTTAATTAAGTAATTAAGTAAATAAATATAATCTTAATTATCTTATAATTAAATAAATAAATAATCATTTTTATTTATAAATTGATTTGTTTGTTTGGAAGTTTTTTCTAAAAGTATTTCCTCTGTTATTTTGAAAGAGGTTATTTGAGTTTTTGTAGTAGACTAAAAAATAATAAAATTTTATTAATTAGTGAAAGTGTGTAAAAAATTTGACATTTTTGCCTTTTGATTTTTTTGTATAGAATAATTGTATGTATCATGATGGATTTGTAATTTAAATAAAAGTTAAAAATATTTTGATGTTAGTGTTTTATTACTTATTATAAAATAGGAAATAGATACTTCAAAATGAGATAGATGTCAAAATTGTAATTTGAATTGAAACGGAGTGAGTATCAAGTTAAATATATATATTTTATAATATTAAAAATAAATTGTATATTTAAAATATAAAATCAATTTATATTTATATTATATTAAACAATCAACCCAATTACAAACACAAGTAAATTTGTAGCGGGGATAAGAATGAGCGAGGTAGTTGAAGCCATTATTAAATTAGTAAACTCGCATGCATTGTATTATTATAAGCAACGGAGCATGTATTTAGATTTGGATATGTAAATTTGTAGCGGGGATAAGAATGAGCGAGGTAGTTGAAGTCATTATTAAATTAGTCCAGCTTCTCTCTTTCTCAGGAAGCTTGGCGAGGGCCCAACCAGCATGGTTGGGTGAAGGCTCTCGGCCCTAAAAAAAAATCAGAACAGGATCATCGCCTACAATTGGCAAATGAGCAATGATAGCCACGTCCATCAGGGTCAGGCCGATAGGACCAGAGGGGAGGAGGAATACGCCCATTTGAGAATGCCAATAGGCCGCCATCGCTAGTAGGGCTTTGTCGTGAAGATGAAGGGGCTGAGTCGACAGGAGGATGGCTTTATCAATGCCTTGCTTTTTCCACTGTTTTTCAAAGTGGGGGAGGAGCCTCGCTTGCCATTTACAGTTGGCGTCTTTTGGATCAGTGAGGTGAGTTCTGATACTGTCCAGAAGACGTTCCGGCTTGAACGCAGCATCGTTGACGATTATTGGAGAAACCTGAGAGATGACGGATCTCATACGATCAAGATCTTCGGTGGTGGTGCAGTAAGGGCGTACGGTAGGGGTAAGGACCCTCGAAGCCACGGAAGGCACTGATGGATCAGCCCCATCGAAAGGAAGAGCAGGGACGTAATGGTTAGCCATTTGAGAAGGAGTTGCAAAAGACGAAGAAGCAGAGGGTTCTTGGAAGTTGATCGTTGAGGAGAGAAAAGAGAATTTTAGGATTTTGAGGGCGTGAGTACGGCTGGGTCAGAGAAGGGCTTTTCACAAACCCTGCGATGTGACATCACAGCGTAATGATAGCACTGTGTTACAAACCCCAAAACGTCGCATCTCACGCAGTTCAAGGAGTGACATTTAGGAGTTGGGCGGGAGGAGGCAAGTTGTTGAGCACAAAAAAAAAATGATGGGTAGGGTTTTCGAGAATGGGCCTATCAAATTAGGTTAAGGAGTGGTGTAGAGTTTAATGGGCTTGTTAATAGTAATAGGATCTTAAAAAGAGAGTCTGAAATGCTGTTAAGGAAAAGGCTTCATCGGGAGAAAGCAGAGATCGGGTGTAATAAGGTCGGGTGCAGAGATCGGATATGGTAAGGTCGGGCTCGAAGGTCGGATGTGATAAGGTCGGGCACTGAGGTCGGATGTGATCAAGTCGGGCACTGAGGTCGGATGTGATCAGGTCGGGCACGGAGGTCAGACATGATAAGGTCGGGCACAGAGATCAGACGTGATAAGGTCGGACGTTAAGATCGGATATGGTAAGGTCGGGCACGAAGGTCGGACGTGATAAGGTGGGCACTGAGGTCGGACATGATCAGGTCGGGCTCGGAGGTCGGGCGTGATAAGGTCGGGCACTGAGGTCGGACGTGATCAGGTCGGGCTCGGAGGTCGGGCGTGATAAGGTCGGGCACTGAGGTCGGATGTGATTAGGTCGGGCACGGAGGTCAGACATGATAAGGTCGAGCACAGAGATCAGATGTGATAAGGTCGGGCATAAGATAGGATGTGGTAAAGTCGGGCACGAAAGGTCGGACGTAATAAGGTCAGGTACTGAGGTCGGACGTGAACAGGTCGAGCTCGGAGGTCGGGCTTGATAACGTCGGGCACTGAGGTCAGATGTGATCAGGTCGGGTACGGAGGTCGGATGTGATAAGGTCGGGCGTTATATAGGTCGGGCAAAGCGAATTCAGGCAAGTCAGGAGGTCAAACAAGTGGAAGACAGACAAGAGGAGACGGAGCAGTAGGTGTGCAGGTCGGCGAAAAAGCAGTTTCTGGACAGTTGAAGGAAGTTTCAACCGATGAGCGGATTTGAAGGCACGATTTGGTGGTGGCGGTTGACATAGGTTTTAAATAGGTATGTTCGTGACCTAAGAAACCCTTTTCAATCGATATCAAATTCAAGAGAATTGCTTTTGGGGATCACCACTTTACTTTTCAGTCTGTAGTTTTCTTTATTTTCCTAGTTTATCTATGTATCCTGCAGTGCCTAGGGATTCCTAATCTCAGACATTTATTTTATCAAATTCGAAGATAATCTCTATTTTCGGATTTTACTTTTTATTGTTGAAAAATTGCATCGACAATTTGGCGACCACAGTGGGAGAAAGACAAGATTGCTGATCCTACGTCAACAGAGAATTTCATACGACTGAGGTCCGGCCGAATCATCGGAAGGATCCATATGGCAGGTTCACAACCTTAATCATCGTCAGCACCGGTGGGAGAAAACATTTCGCCACCTGTCATGCCGAGCGCAGGGGAAACACCACAAGCACCTGCTGACTGGGTGTCCTATGTTCAACAATTGAACAATCAGCATACTCTGGCTATGCAAAACATGTTGCGTGAGCAAAAAATATTGCATGAGCAACAAAACCTTATGCTAAATCAGGCGTTATCAAGGGTTACTCTGCAACCCACCTAGACACCACAAGATTATCACTATCCAGATTACAAGCAAATTTGGCGGGGCCTTTATATGTAGACACATTTCCAAGTGCTACTACTAGGGTTGATAGGGGAAAGACTCCCCTAACATACCCAAACAACGTTCCATTGGGCGTCAGGGCCGAACCAACCGACCCCAGAGAAGATAGATTGGGAGGTCAGGCTCACAATCCCATTCTTGTATCTGACCCTGTTCCACCCAGGCTAGATCCGGAAGACATTGCTCAAGTCTTGAGGGTGCATTTTGGAATGAATCCTCAAATGGTCAATAGACCGGCATGTCAGAGGCCATTCCCAGAAAGAATCATCAATGAGCAACCCTTCCGAGGAATTACAGACCACCCGATTTTCATTCTTTTTCAGGAAAGGATGGAGCCTCAACCATTGAGCATGTGGGACGCTTCACGGCTCAATTGGGGGAAGTGGGGAATAATTTGTTTTACAAATTACAGTTGTTTGGATT